TTCCAAGCAGCCTCCATGTCTCCAGTGTCTTCTTCCCCACTTGGAGCTGAACCCAGAAGGACATTTCTTTCAACAACAGCAGGTATACTACCTGAAGAAGTCTGATCATGATTGGTTTGTTTTTTAAAGTAACTGGGTCTCCTGTGCTTGCAAACTCTTAAGAGAATCACAGCCCACATTTTCAGGACTCTTGGATTAACTCATATTGTGAGTTCATGGGATATAAATTAAATAACCAGCAGCATCTGTGGAACCAATTGTAGGTTTAATGGAGGAGGGCTGCTAAAATCTGGACAATATAGAAATACAAAAAACTCCAACCCCTTTCTGACACAGGTTCTTCCTGCCCAGATTTGAAAGCACTAATCTGCTTTCTAATAAACAGTTAGATTTTATGCCTCTTGGCTCCCTATGTATCTTGAAAAATTGTAAATAATTATAAATAATTATTACAAATAATTAGTACAGATTATATAAGATTTCAAAACAGCTTCTTGGTAATACACAATGAAATGCTATAAAAAGAAACAAGGAAAAATCTGTGGGAAAACAGTCACATTCTTAGAATAAACAATGCACAGCAGTGGAAAATATACTCTTTCTCAAAGCATGCTCATATTATTCTAAGAAATATCATTATAGGTGGCTTCAATGAATTTTGCTTTAGTTTTTACTTCAATTCATCAATTCATCTAGCTGAAAAAAATATTTCTAGTTTTACAAGTTCTATCATTTGAGAAAATACTTTTTTAAATGTAATTTTAAAGCATTTTTATCATTTATCTCATTTTATAATTATATTGTTTAAAATATTTTTGTCTTATGAATTCTTTTAAAATAAAGAGCAGACAGAAATTGCAATGAAAATCTTGTTAATAATGAATTTAGAAATTAGAATTGTCTTAAGAATTTTTTAAAAGTTAAGGATAGAAACTGCATTAGAAACTTATTAATAATAAATTTAGAAATTAGAAATGTATTAAAATATACCATTCCTAGTTACTAGCATTTTAAAACCTGCTTTCTCAAAATGGCCAATGGAAGGTGATACTTGATTAGCACCTTACCCAGGCTGTTTCCCACTTTCTATTTACATGTCTAATGTCTGAACTATCTGAAGCAAAATACATTTCCTCCTTCTCTCTTACGTTAGCATCACAGTCTAGCAAATTAATTATACAGTATACATAACTGTATACAGCACAACATAAGTTCTCCATCACAATCTAGCAAATTAAAGTATACATAACTGGTAAATGTCCAGTTACATGGAGGAAGAATGTATATACTTACACATTTGATCCAACTCTCAATCTCCTCTTCATTGAGTCTAGAAAGTGTGCGAGGCAAATATCTGAGCAATCTCTCTTTAACAGATGAGGAAGTAAATGTGCTTTCTGCCTCTGTCAAGCTTGCAATCACATCTGCTATCTGACCAGAACCTTCCACCACGACACAGGGAATTTTGTTCTTGATGGCAGTGTTAATTGCCTATGAAAGAGACTACTGACATAATTAACATTCTTAGTACAATTTTGTAGCTCTGTGTATGGGATATATATGATTCCAGCTGTGCGTACAGCTGCTTTCAGTAGGCATACTGCTACTTGCATGTAACTAAACACACCCACAAAATCATCAATCTTGGCAATCCTTATTTCTGACATCCCTATCAGTCCAGCTAGCCATGTGGCAAATGCCAGCTTACCAAGTCAGCTAGGGGTACATGATGCATGATGACAGATTTGCTGTTCCAGGGACTGGTTAATGGTTTCAAAAAACAGCACATGTTTTGCTGAGTGTCCTACAGAAGAGTGATTGCAATCTAATTTTCATTGTCTCAAGTACTTAAAAAAATATTGCTTACTATTAAAGCAAACTGCTTATTACCTGAAAATATCCAAACACAGCAGCCAAACCACAAAGATCTACTGCACCAGAACACAAGCCACATTCACTGCTCTTCTGAAGGGGTGTTCTGCAGTGGTGTGATCCTACCGGTTTAACAACTGGTTCGGTGATCGTGCGCATGTGCACTTTGGAGAAAACTTGACTTCGCCCGAACTGGTCTGAACCAATAGAATCCCACACCTGTTCCTGGTTTGTGCATTACTAGTTTACACTGCAGTGGTTAGACAAGCTAATGTCTAGAAACACATTTGATAGGACATAACAAAACTTATTAAACAAAGCAAAACAAAATTCTTAAAGGTTTCTTAACAGTGGTGGAATTCAAATAATTTAACAAGCAGTTCTCTGCCCTAATGACTGGGTAGGCGTGGCTGGGTGGGTGTGGCTGAATGGGCATGACCAGGGGGCATGACAGCACTCAGCCTCCTGCAGCACTCTTCCAGTCAAAATGGGGCACGGTGGTTAACAGGGCACAGCTCTGTTCTCCTGCACGCAGGGCAACAAAAGAAGACCATGTGACTACTAGTTTAAAAAAAGTTCAGTCAGATCTTGAAGATCTTGCCCACTCCTGAGGTCTCTTTGACTGTCAATGGCAACCTGGGAAATGTAATGCAGATTGTTTTTAAACAATCTTCCTTAAAATTGATGATAAACATTAGGATGATGAAAATTAAAAGCAAAAGTGGACAGTTTTAGCTACATTAATGCAGTTGATTATGTGTTTCATATTGGGTTGGACTGCTTTGTGTCTGCAGTTCTTACACTATACGTTACACATTGTCTTCAAACAGTTTAGTTGGGGCTGGTTCTTTTTGTTTGAGGTCTAGCAGGAATTTGTGCAGCCGCAATGTTCCTGCATACTTCAATGCAGTATTCAACCTCTAGGTTTTTATGTTTCATTTCTTTCCGCATCCAACTCCCCCACATAAAAGAATATGTTCCAGTGGTCAATTTGTTTTCAGTCCAGTCTGAATTTGTATATTCAATAAGCTCTCGATCTATAAGGATTGCCTTTCCTCCTAGCTTAAGAAAGTGAAGATTCTTGAAATGAAATATTTCAAAAGGAAGCTTTTACTATGTAGAAGTGAAAACAATAAGTTCAAAGCAACATCTGAATCCCCTTAGGCAAGGGAAGTAGAATTAAAGCAGCAGAGACCCCTCCCATTAGTCAGAATGCAGATTTTAGTCAATACACAAGCATGAAGGTGGTTCCTTTACCAGCTGCCCTGAGAACTGGATAAGCATACATTCCCATGACTATCTTCCATTAGACATTAAAGTGAACTGGGCCACATGGCCATCATAAACATTCTCCAAAAGGTGAGGGGATCTCAAGGGGCTTTGGTGCCAGGAAACTACTTGTAAAATATCAGTTGTCACAGGCACTGCTAATAAATCGACTCCAAGCCCCCCCTCCTCCCAATTGAATGGCAGTATCACTTTTAGGGATCTGACATGTTGCCTTCCTTAGAAAAAGGAGAGATCCACCTGTGAAAAGATAAAAACAAAAATCCCATCATAATATTTTAACAAGGTTTGTTAGGGTATTGGGAGTACTTTTTTCAATAAAGTAGGGGGCCTAACATGGTGTTTAGCGACCCATTCATTTTGGGATGAGGGTAGATGCTTCCAAGCAACTAAGTATTGTGTTTTCCTCCTGTGGATTCTAGAGTCAAGCATTTCCTTGATTTCAAAGTGTTGTTCACCTTCTATCATGATGGGAACAGGTGGTGTAAGTGCAGGTGGTCTGAGTGATGAGATTACTTCTTGTTTGAGTAAACTAATATGGAATACTGGGTGGACTTGCCTGAGTGTCTTTGGAAGGAGTAGTTCTACTGTTACTGGATTGATGACCCTAGTGATAGGGAAAGGTCCAATGAAATTTGGCCCTAATTTCTTTAATGGCTGTAGTGACTTCAGAAATTTTGTAGATAAGTATACCCTATCTCCAATATGGAAAGGTTTGGGTTCCATTCTTTTCTTCTCAGCTTGAATTTTAAAAGCCTCTCTAGCTTCCTGTAAAGCTAATCTGACTACTGGCCATATGTTTTGTAAAGTGTCCATCCACTCCTTAATTGTGGGGATAGTGGGTTCAGGCATGGGGCTGAAATCCTGGCCTGTTGCTATTCTAAAAGGGGTAAAACCGGTACTTGAGTGTACAGTGTTATTGAATGCTACTTCTGCAAAAGGTAAAAGTTTAGTCCAGTTATCCTGTTGAAAATTAATAAAACATCTTAGATATTGTTCTAGTATCGAGTTAGTCTGTTCACAAATTCCATTAGTCTGGACATGGTACAAAGAGCTCAACCCCTGGGCAGTGGCAAGTAAGGTTTAAAATGCCCTTCAAAATTTTGAGGTGAATTGGACCCCTCTGTCAGAGATGATTCTCTGCAGGGCTCCATGAAGATGATAAATATGTTTCAGGAATAATTTCGCTAGGCTTTTGGCAGTTGGGATCATTTGGCAAGGTATAAAATGTCCCTGTTTTGAAAACTGGTCTGTTACGACCCAAATGACAGTATTTCCCGTACTTTCTGGCAGTTCTACAATGAAGTCCATAGCAATCTCTCCAGGGTGCTGCAGAGTTCTGGGGTTTTCCCTTGACGTCTTTTAGCTGCCGCATAAATAGGGCAGCTAACTACATAGCTCTCTATGTCCTTTTTAAATGATGGCTGCCAAAATTGTATTTTAATTAGGTGTAAAGTTTTGGCTAGCTGGAACATAAACTTCCATCCCACCCAAGCTAAATTATCTTTCATCAGGCAGCTGGATTTGTGGCTCAAAAACCATTCATTGGTGGCCAAAGCTTGTTTAAAAGTTTGGGTGGTGTCATTGTCTATTAATGTTTCTTGTTTTGCCTGGGATCTGGAGATTACTTTAGCAACTAGCTGATAGTTTTGTACTATGGGTTTAATTACATCTGGCTTCATTCTATTGTATTGCAGTTTTCTGGATAGTGCATCTGCCAGAAAGTCCCCCCCCCCCAGGATATATCTGAGCATAAATTTAAACCATTTAAAATACTGGCCAACCGTACTTGTTTTGGGGAGAGTTTCCTTGGGGTCTTTAAGATTTCTAAAATTTTTTAATTGAATTTTTTTAAAAAAAGTTTTACAAATATATGCCTCGCCTCCCCCTCCACCCCCCCAACCTCCCAGAGCAAATACAGGGTATTAACATTAACATCCATATTCTAAAATAAGCTAACAGACTTTAGCATCATCCCTCACTTGTACTTTAACTCCCCTTTTGTAAAGCTAACTTTAAGCAAATTGTATCCTTCTTTGCTCATTCACTCATACGATATCTGGAATTTCTTAGTCCCATATTTATTCTGAATATAGTCAATCCATCTTCTCCATTCCAGCTTATATTTATCATCTGAATGGTCCTTA